CCTTTGGTCTAATTTATTTTTATATAGCCTTATATAAGGTGCTTTGTCATGAAAGATTCCAACGACCTCCTGACACAAATATAAAAATGTAGTTCTTTTTGTGAGAAGGCAGCAGTCCCATGTTGCCAGTTTCTCACATTCAGAAATGTTGAGTCTAAAATCTCACAACTTGTGGGGTTGGCTTGAGAAGTTCATTTTTCTTTGCTTTTTTTTTTTTTTTTTTTTTTTTTTTTTTTTTTATAGAATGTTATTCTAGAGTAGATCTGACCTTAAAAAGGAGGAAAGCTTTCATTTATAGAAGAGAAAGGGAAGATGCTATGGGAAAACAAAAACAAACAAACAAACAAAAAAAAACAAAAACAAAAACAAAAAAAAGGATATCTCAGCTGGCAAAATACTGCAGGTTTCAGGAATTCCCCAAATGCTATAATATCTAAAGAATCAGCAGGAGAAGAAATGAAGCCATAGTATTTGGGCCTTCTGAATCTTTAACGCTTGTTCAGAGCGCAAGAGTGCAGACTTAATTTCAGCAGATGCATTCCAGCATTGCTACTTTGTGCCCAGCTTGATTACCTTGTCTGGTTAAATGATGAAATTACTCCTGTCTGCATTTAAATGCTTAGTCCTTGTGTAGTGAAGGCTGCATTATTCTTGTGGCATGAAGCATTGTCCATCGAATTGGCATTATGTTAGTAATACTACATAGATACAGTCCTTAATATTTAAAATGTGTCACATAAATACTAAGAAAGCCCTTCTTATTAGCAGTCCTCTTTTGAGTTAGATATAACTTCTCATATCTGTAGCTATTTGACTGTGCCAGGTGTCTGCCTCAGGCTGAATTCTATGGTGTTCTTTGGTTTGTTTTCTCCTTTTAATGTCAACCATAGCAACTCTGTTATTCCTGAGAATTTTGCTGGAGAAAATCACCCAAAATAAACCTGGTAGACTTCTTAAGGGCCTTAGTGTGACCTCCTCCTGGGAGAAGGCACTTAGCCATTAGTGAAGGGGTGACTGAGATCTGCTGGAGATGTGCTTCAGTGTTGGTAGATTCAGATGGAAAACCTGCCGTGATATGAGTGATTTTATGATGAACTTATAAGTTTTACCTTAAGGCTTACCTTGTGCTTACAGAAACATGTTAGAATATGATGTAAAATATGGCCATCCGTGCTTAATGACTTCAGCTCTGGTGCCAAACCACCCAAATGTGTGCTGCTCCCCTCCAAAACTAGCAGCTCCTTCCAGCCCCAGTCAGGAATCTGTGTTTCTGGTAATAATACCAATGGTGCTATGTGCTTTAGCCATCTTTTCTGCCTGTGTTCAGGGTTTACCTCATTCATGTTTTAAAAAAGAAACCATTAAAAAAGAACCATCCAAACAAAATAAACCCAGAGTGAACCTTAACACGTGACTATGCTTTGAATTCCTGAAACGATTTTGCAAAGGTTACCAGAAAAGCAGATTTTTATCAGTAAACTTCAAGATAAGGGCAAGGCAGATCTATTATTTTTTCTATCTTAATGAATTTAACAGTGAGATATTTCCAACATGCTTAGCGCAAGCATCATGGAAAGGGGACTTTGCTTTTCAGTAAGAACCTGTGTGGTCTCTTGTTGTCCAGTATCTCCCTCCCCTGTCACTCCAAGAACCTAAGACTGCAGCAGATGCCTTCCTCCCTGCTGTGAAACCCCAGTGCACCCTGATGTGTGCCCCGAAGTGGCTCAGTTGTGCTTGCTGGTGTTCTGAGAGGCTTTTCTGCATTGTGCCTCTTCCACCAACCCAGAAGTTGCAGCCATTTGTCAGAATGACGCAGTAGATTGAAAATATGCTATACCAAAAACAATCATATGTGATTTCACTTCTGTTACAAGTTAGAATATTGCTGCTTTTAGTGGTATTTATACCTTCCGAAGTGAATACAAGGAAGTGTCTTTGTTGTGAAATTTCTCTGCCGTTTTTCTCTGGATTGATGCTCTGGAGAGTAGAGCAATTCCTAGGGAATTTGTAAGTACATTTCATCTAGTTTTATTTTCTTAACTTTGCACTTTTCTTTAAAAATCGGGTAGTTTCTCATTTTTTGAGCTTCTAAATTATATTGCTCATTAAATGCCTCCCGTTGTATGTCTATAATTCATAAAATATATAGTGATAATTTTCTTAGAAGAGAGTGCTTCAGTGTGCGTAGCATATATCTAGTGTTGTTGTCCTGTGTTTTACAACTGGTATATTATAGAACAAGCAAGAATTAAGAAAAATGAAACTAGTTATGTTCAGAAAATTATGCTTGCTGTATCAGAAGCTGTTGTTGCAGTGCTCAGTTCAGAGAAGTTTGCATACCTTATTGAGTGAGCTGCATATTTTTCTGGCTGAGGTGTGTACACTGTAGTCATTACGTTTTTGCACACTTCACTGACTGAGCTGCATGGGCTACTTCAACTGTCACCAGGAATACTTGACTGAGTTCTGCTGCTTATTTGCGCGCTTCGGTTTGCGTGCTTTATTACTTCAGCGGTGTATGTTGATAAAGTTCTGTTCTGTGCCGTTAAATTTTCATTCTGCCAATCTAACTGTATGCCGTGCTGAGAGAACTGCATGCATTGCTAACTGCGTACTCTGCGGTGAACACGAGTGGCTGAAATGTTATAATCTGCAGTGCTTTGTTAAATGAGCTGCATATTTTTGTTTTTGTATACGTTGCTTACCCAGTTGTGTACATTTGCCCTGCTCATTATACAAAATAAGCCTGATTGGAATAAGAACATTGTCTACCAGCTGTCTGCTCTGAGTCAGCCCGTAACAAAATTAGCAACTTTCTCTTTCCAACAGTGACATGATTGCATCCAAAGTTTAAGGCAATTGGTTTGGAGATCTTGTTTGTTTCATTCACTCTGTGCAAACATGGAGATTGACAAACTAATTTGTAGCAACTTAATTTGTTTTCACAAATATGAAAGAAGTTGAGTAACAGAGGAAAAACTCAGCACTGTAGTATAGGAAAATGCTTTCATGTAGGTTATGAAATGCATGCACTTGTGTGTATGTGTGTGTATATACATATATACACATTTACATTTATATATATATATATATATATATATACATTTATATATATATATATACATACCTAAATATAATTATCTAACTTAAAGCCTTATGTTGTAAGTGTAGGACAGAAAATAACTGGAGATCTCTTAAGATAGACATTTCATCAAAGAAGCAACATCCTCAGTGCTGAAAATTACAAATATAAAGTTATATGAGCTCTGTACTTCCACTAAGAGTTCATTTTTATAACTTATCTCATGGCTGTTACAAAAAACTCAAAATACTGCTAAATACCTGTAAGCTCATGTGCACAGATATGTAGCTTGCTCGTTAACGTTGATACAAAACTGAATTAGCAGCTTTAAGAAAGTGGTGGTTTTTTTTTAAACTAGCTAACTTTGAGCCGTTTCCAGTAAGACCCACAGATTATTCTTAAATTTTGACTAATTTGCAGTTTGCATACGTAGCAGCTTGTGCTTCCATTTATGAAATCTTCAATGCTACCACGCTTCTAAAAACCTTTTTTTTTCTTGAGTACAGAGATTCTTAATTAGAACTATATGTGTGTAGTTTGCCTGGATTCTTACCTGCCCCACATGCAAATGTAACTGTACCTGGATCCTGTTGTCAGTGTCCCACTGCTGATTGCTTTCACTTTAATGTTATAATTCACTGTGTTCTGAACAGACTGCCTGTTTGTTTTTGTGAAATTTTACATATGAAAGCTTAATTGATCTTATTGCTTCAGTCAGAATTGCTAGATTTCAAATAGTGGCCACTTTTTTCTCAGCCTTCTTATGAACTATTATTTAACAGTGTAAATATTATAATAGTTCACTGTAAAAATATATTTGTGAATATCTCAGGGCAAATATAATTTTTAGCAGTCTTCACTGACACCAGCGGAAAATAAATGTAGAGAGAGAAATACAAATGAAATGCAGTAGTATATCCTGGAACATCATATCAAAATTAATTTAGTGTTCATGTTTCAGTTTTTCTATGTACACTAATGTTGCATATCAGAGGCATGAGAAACCAGCTATATTGGATTTAATATCTGTAAGGTTAATGTAATACATGAAATGAGCTTGGTCTACTCCAGACTTTCTTAACAGAAACAGGATAAGTAATTCTGCATGAAGTGATTTACAGCAGACAGATGGTAGGGAAGAAGGTTTTGTCTTTTTTCTTTCCTCTGCATGAATTTACTTTTGGTATCAGTCCATTACCAGTGAAGATCTAGACTTTTCTCTTCCTTTGAACCATTAAATGCCAGCTGTAGTCTCCCTAAGCTATCAGTATATACTAAGATGAGAATTGGGCTCTCATCACTACCATATTCAAACCAGTGATGGCTATGTGCAATTTCTGATGTATAACTGTTCTGTGTAGTTTTTACAGAAGAGAATTCTTTCTTTTGCCAGACAGAATGAAGAGAAATAATCTTCTCTTAGGGGGGAAAAAAATCAGAAGTTTTTATTTTTCCTGTTGCTGTGTAGAAATAAGAATCTTTAAGAGATGAAGCAGTTGAAAGGTTTTTGTGAGATCAGTTTCCCTATCTGCCTACTTTCCACTAACATCTTCAACAGATAAACTGGACTTGCTTTTCTGTTTTTGAATCTGAGTAACCTATTTGTTTTGATAGGATTCCTACCAGAAAACCAAGTGTATTAAATTCAAGTTTACTTTCAAAGTACATTACTGCTGCGAGATGTAAAATGTAGGCTATTAAAATACTAGGAATACACTGTGTTATCTGAGATCTACGGAGACTAAAAGTACTTCAAAACATAAGATACACATCCATTCTATATTTTCTGTATGTTTTTATGCAGCTGGTATATACGACAAATGTGTAGAGTATTTCATAATTTATAACTGAGATTTATTTCCTTTTTCTAGAGAGTAATCTTCAATGTCGTCAACTTCAGTAAAACAAAAAGCCTCTATAGAGATGGAATGGCTCCAATGGTGAAATCCACAAGCAGGCAAAAATGGTGAGTTATCATTTCAAAGGCTTGCTTATTAGGAGAAAAAGTGTTTTGCTTGGGATTCTTTTATAGTGAAGATCTTCTGGCTCAGGTGTAGCTTTTAGTAAGAGTAGGAATGAACTTGAATGTATGAGCAGTGTTGTGAGAATAGGGTTCTCTTTGGTGCATGTGATCTGGATGAATTCTAGAGGCCTCTTCCAGCTTTGCTGTGATGATGTTTTAGCGTCTTGCTCCAATAAGTGTGACTGAAGATATGTCTGAACACATCGAACAGTGGGGGCTCTGGCTAAATTGCTGTTCGGTAATCTCCTCACCATCCAGCTGTGAGCATGGTCTCTGGCTCTGGTTTGGCTTGTTTAACGTTGCACTCTCCCAAACGCTTGTAAATGCTATGAGGTAAACAGAATTTCTAAAAGGCTTTTTGGGTTTGGTTCCCTTGTTTTTGAGAAGTTGCAGTTAAGAGTATGAACTCTGCCCTCTGGGATGACTTCAATTTAATAAGCAGTATTTGCTCTTTTATATATTGATGTAGATGCAGCTGAAAACACCAGAAGGTCAAACAACTTGGTCATAAGTTAGGCAGTATATACAACATGGAAAATCATGCAGATATGGAACACAAATAGATGGTGCATTTTTTTTTTTTTTTTTTTAGACCAACTGTAATGAAATGTCTACTGTGAGTAATATGTAAATCTAATGAGTCTAAATGTATGCAAGACTCTCAAGAATTATATAATTTGCCTTTAGCAAGATTTATTTGAATATGGATAGTGAGGTTAGACCACAAGTGTACAGTAACATATTCTTGAAAGTCTTTATTGGTTAATTATTAATCTGTACGTAATCTTAGTCTTATATATACATGTCCTCCTTAAATACTTGAACAATCAGAAAACTTGAGTTCACTGAGTCTTAACTTTTGTGACCATGAGATCACTTCTTCTTTGTCTGACCAACAGGTAGGGCTATTTATATTTATTTTTTAAAATTAGATGGAAAGGTCACCTGGACAGAAAAAACCTGCCCTGGAAACAGGAAGCAGTTGGAGTCAATTTCAGCTCAATAGGTGTATGTAATAACATTGAAAATTAATTAAGAAAAAATCCATTGGTTTTTTTTTTTTTTTTTTTTTTCGGTAGCAAAAATCATGTTACTGTTTACTATTTAATTTCCAAAAAGCCTTTTTGGGGTATTTTGGGGAAACATCAGACTTACTTTAATCATATTTCAGAACCTTTTCTTTCTCTCACTGGAGTCTGGTATTTGCAGCTAAGTATATTTTGTGTTAAGTCTATATATAAATCAGATATTGCTTTCATACAAATTTTATGCCTTACTTTGGTTTCAAATTAAAGTGTAAATCTTACAAAACAATGCAAAATGGGGTTTTTCTAGAACATATAGGCTCCTTCACTATTTTTAAAACTGATTTCTCCTTCACTTCCCAGGAGATCTATTTATTTTTGTGTTTTATATTTTTAGGGGGATGTATTTTGCTCCTATGAAAGTGAGGAATGAATAGCATTGCCTGGAGCCATGCACAGTGTGCAATGCAGCTTCCTTTTACAGGGCTACAACCGTACTTTAATCCTGTTTCAGAAATTCTACCTCTAATTTCTTTCTTTAAAAAAGATAATTATTGCATTAAAATATCTTTTCTTTTTCTAATAGCTCAGGTGCGAAAACTTGCTGTACCTTGAAGGTGTGAATTAATTCATACCGTTATCAGGGCCCTCAGTGATATTGGGGTCTCCGCAGTATAATTGGCTTGATGTTATAGGAATTATATGTATACTTTTCAAGAGGAAAACACATAGATTATTTTTGAATACATGCTTTCTATTAGACCTGCTTTTCACGTGGCTTGTGCCTCTTGCAATTGCTTCTTTATCTGTTTCCATGGTGTTCTAATGAAATCTGTAAATAAAATTTTCTGTTTCTCTACTGAAATGAAATAAGATTTCCATGCACATGCAGTGTGCAGGTAGTTGTGGTGCTTGAACACGAGTAGGGCAACATTTGGCTTGCATTGATTTGGTCTTGTTTGATGCTTCTTATGAGTTAATCTAGAAAGCAGCACTGAATTGAATTGTTTAATGCTGCTGAAGTACTGAGGTTTACATGAACGTCCTCAAGATTCAGAGTTGTTGAAGAGAAATACTTAGAAATCTTCACCTTGTACTAAAAATTAAACAAGCATAGTGATTTAGTAACTATAATGTAATTTGGTAGGAAAAGCAGATATTAATTACAGGAAGTTGAAGAAGCACAACATATTAAAAAGAAATTAAAAAAATAAAACTACTAGAAGCCGTGTTCTACAGATTTTCCATAGCTTCATCTCTGAACTCTCCTGTACTAAATATTTTAGGAACTCACCATTATTGTGCCTGCCTGTGGAGGCATGTGATACATACTGAAATTCTTCTAACTTTCTCTAGCCACACAGACAAAAGCAGTGCTGTGTCATACACAACTCTTCTGCCTTTTTAAATACAATCAGGTCTGAGTTTTATGATGGCAGTATCTAATATTTGTTTTGCATTGGAGCAGTGTTATGCCCTTCTGACTGAAATAAAAAATCCTGCTGTATTCAGGATAGAATTTGACCATATAGCTTGCAAAATCCTCTGTATCAAAAGCAGATTGGCCTCCAGAGACAGTGAATTTTAATGTTTGTTTCGAGTGTGGTTATGTGAACATGACTCCAAGCTTTGCGTTGTTTTGCGAGTTTGATTCTTGACTCTGGAACAAATCATTGCCAAGTGCTCTTGAAGTAGAGTGTGTCAAACACAGATCAACATTTTTGACCTGTATTCTCTTGCCCTGTGGGGTAAAATCTTTAAATGCAGTCAGCATCAAGGTTTAGCTCAGTGTTAGTGATGTAAATGGGGAATATCACTGTCATCAAAGCACTCTGTGTGGACACAGATGTTCTGGTGTTGACATATTCTTCTCTTTTGAAGTAAGGCCAAACATTTCCAGTAATGAGCTACTTAAAAAGGGGAAGCATTATGCTGAATGATAAGAAAAAACCAGATTTCATGGTAAAGAATAAGATTATTTTTTAAAAAGAAAACCAGAAAAATGATTTAAAAGATATGCATTTCCACCGTAAATGTTAATAGATTTACTGAATGCTTATTCACAAGAAATAGAGGCAGAAAAATAGAAACAAGTTCTGTGTCTCTATTCTCGTTTTCCTGGATGTTTTTTTTTTTTTCTGTGGGCATGCTAGGTTGTTACTGAATAGTATAGGGTTGTGTCAGTTACATCAGTCAAATCTCACCACAGTGAATCACAGCTCATACATAGAAATGCAGTGCTGTCACACCGTGTTACATCAGTTATGTTTCAAGATGAAAATCAAGGCTTTATTTCAAGCCAGTGGAATGGGCCGTGTATGGTCACTTAGCATTTCTGCTGACAATTATCTGCTAATCTGGAATTATTAAACTGAGATTTTGGGTAAATAGTGTTTCTTTTTTTTTTTTTTTTCTTCCTTGATAATGACTACCTCAAATATAGAGGATCGCTGTAACACACACCTGTTCTGTTTGGGTCTTTCTGATTTGTGGAGGTGAAGAGTTGAGGTCGAGGTGGGTTACTGTAAATTGCATTTTTTGCTATGCTGATGCAGTTTTTTGTGTAATCTCTCTTTTATGCTTCATTTTAGTGTGATCTGTTTTGGTTGTGGCTTCTTAATCATTTCAAACTGAAGTCTCTATTCTTAGGAGCTATTAAAATCTATCATGTGGGCATGGCTGTGGAAGACTGTTTAAGTACATATACTACATCATTATATTTATTCTATGAAGTTTTACAACTTTCTCAAAGTGAAATAGAAGAGTGACTTGTTACAGAGGCAGCAGATTTTCCAAATGATGAAGTGAGCAAATATTCCCTTTGGGCCGAGAACAGCTATAACTCTTGATTATTCAATATGAGCATTGCCTCATTGGGGATGTTAGTTTTTTTAAATTGTGCTAATCTTTTAAAAGTAACAACTGGCCACTCATCACCTTAGGTATTTCAGCAAGATCATGTGCAGAAGTCTAATTAGTATTTATAGAACAGCAGCTCATCCCAGTAGAATAGTAGTGGTAGCTGGCAAATATCTGGTTGACACCTGTTAAGTCTTCAGACATCCATTGTATTTTATTCTGCATTTTAAATGAGCAGAGAGCAGTAGGTGAAGTCCCCATAATTAAGGGACAAAGGATAATAAATAACATGGTTCTTGAGTGGATGAACACAAGGTTAAAGGCTGCTCAGCACTTGTGATACTGCATTTCAGGAAATGTTTGTATGTAAGTAATAATGCTAGCTCAAATGCTATGTAGGCTACATCATACAAGAGAAGATTTATGTCTAGATTTAAATGTGTTTTGTTTATAATGTCAGATTTTAAACTGCTTCTTGGCAAAGCCGTCGCTTTCTTTCCCATCTTTTATCTCACTTAGCACTGATAGCTTTTAACTGGATAGCTGCCTTTGCCAGCAAGCACTCCACTACCTCTGTTGCTATAACGTCTACTGTTAAATTCTCCTAACACATTGCTTCTAAAGTGTATTCCTTTTGCAATAAACCTGGAAATACAGAAAAAAATCTAGGTAATTAATTCAAATTTGAGAGTATATGCAACTTGGTAAATATTGTCATGATGAAGAATTTTGGTAGACATGGAGAACAGCAATGCAAGTTTTATGAACAATACTCCCATATGTTCCATTCATCAGAAGGGGACAAGACTGAGAAAATCTGCATTTTGAGTAGCTAAAACGTGTTGTTTCTTGCCAAGTTTCTTTAACATTTGTCTACAATGCAGTGTTACAATCACTACCATGTCTATCAGGCTGCATTATACATTCAGAGACTTCCAACAGCGTTTTTAGTATGTATTTATATATCTTTAGCCATAAGATAAGCTGTTTGTGGAATGAGCTGTCACTTGTGGTGGAACAGTTTGAGAATAAAGCACTAAATTTATATATGGCTTGCTA